AGCTGTGTTTTGCAGACTGTGACAAGCAGTGAGGGATTTTTTTTATTTTTTTAAATGTGACAGCCGCTGGTTTCAGCATGCATCAGAGGATTTAGGTACCTGACAGGAATCTGAGGCTGAGCCTTGTTTTTCTGAAGGTAAACTGAACACACACAAAGTAATTAAACACTGACTGATTTCCCTTAATTTAATATGAAGCTTTAGGGGATATTTGATGAAATTTAACATGAATAATGAATTACACCGTGGCCCTTTCAAACAGGTAGCCTTATATTGTTAGCAAACAGTATTTGAAAGAAGAAAAATAATATTTCTCTTCAATTTAAGTCTGTTCAAATCTACCCTCTAATTTTAAAGGATCAAATAATTTTCTTTATCATCAAAATATTTGTTTTTCTAAAGCAAATTTTATGCAAAAGCAGTGTTGCAACATTTAAAGAGCATTATAAATCAACCAGTACAGGAGTTATGAATCAAAATCAATAAATTTGTTCATGATCAGTGAGGAAGAAAACACGTTCATTTTATTTTTTGCGCACGTATTATATTTTTAAACACACATTTTATGTTTCTTATACTGTTTAAATATCAAGCACGATGGAATCCACGCATAAACATTTTCATGCTTCCTTTATTGATAAAGTTACTGTTTGGTTTTTACTGGTTTTTCATTAGGTTAATTCAACATTTCGATTTTTAAAATGATTTCGAGTTCATTCTAAAGGTATGTTAAAACACGCCGATTTATTTTGTTATCGTGGGCTGGTTTGGCAGGATGTGCGCACGGTGTGTTTGTGTTGGCTGATAGACTCAGAATCAAGGAAATTAATTGTTGCCACTTTAGCCACACACACACACACGGATTACAGATCCATCAGATCCCACAGTCACCCTGTGAATAAAACGAGCTGTAATTGCAATCATATATGTGTGGCTTCAGCTCCGCGCGCCATACCGTACCATTAGTATCGCAAATAAGTAATAATTTGCTAATGACAACATTATGTTGAGTCAGTTTAGGGGCAATTAAAGTGAGTGATATTTACATATGCCTAATGAATCACCGAGCGTGGCAGTTCGGGCGGACTCTAATGAATATTCATCCAGGCATTTCTCCCCTGCGCGCAGCAGTTTATAAACTGAATTATGGCTGATTTGCCCTTTTAAAAAATGAACATGGGCGCATCTCCCACAAGGAGGCGGCGAACAATAACGTCTGATTATAAAAATGTTTTACTGCTAAACTGCCGGTGAGGAGACGGCGGCAGCGTGGTAAAAGACTCTCTTTGGAGGGGTGCTGAGGAGGGAGAGCCCACCTAAAATCAATCCAATTTAGTCTGGGCCCTCTCCACCTCTTTTTAGACTGACAGAAATATTCGCAGCGTGCTCTGTCATCGCACTGGACATGTTCAGCAGCTGCTTTTACTAGAGGAGTCTGCCTTCAGGTTATCCCGAGCAGAGGTTAGACTCACACCAACCTTTAAAAGCGCGGGGTTGACTCGCTCCTCCACCCGCCTGTGATTTCTCCGGTAATTGCCCCCGGTTGGTGGGTGAGTCGGCTGAGCGTTGACCTCTCAGGTGCGGGGCCAACAGGCGGTATCGGTTTGCATTCAGAGGGCGCTTAACAAGATGGGCTGCACGTTTATCATGCAAATAAGCAGCTCTCTAGCAGGTGTCAGCGCACACTCGCATGAGTGCGCACGCACACGTGCATGCGCGCGAGCAGAGGCTTTAACAGCACTGCAGTCATTATCGCATTACAAATGTAACCACAGACACACAAGGCTGACATATGCAGCTGTGCCTCATAATGACCAATGACCCAAAAACAATACTCAATGATTAAAAAATACATTAAAATCACACTGAGCACAACTGTAAACCAAAACATCATTTTATTGTAAACATTTTGCACATTATAAGCATGTGGCTGTATTTTTAGATGTAGCATACATATGTGCACTCATAGCCAAGAGGCTTTGGGAAGCATTTTCATTTTTTTTCATATATGTTTAGATTTTCAAATACAGATCCCGAATGTTTAAGAGTCTAAATCTTTTATTATTATATAATTAAAGATAATACTGTCTGGCTTTATTAAGTGAAACATGCAGAATCGCTGCCTACAGATATAACACTCCCCACAAGCTTTATGTTGCTGCTGATAAATTATGACAACTTTTACATTTAGGTTAACTGCATCTGTAGATCGCTTCAGTCCTTCCTCAGTCCTTCAGTTTGTCGCCACCTCTTTGATTCAAATGTATCTGCTGCCACCTTGTGGTTTATTTGTGCCACTGTCGTTTTTGGGAGTAGCACAAATGACAGTTGCACACATTTTGTTTCATACGCTGCAACTTCAGTTGTCTGGATTATATTGTTTAGATGGGAAATGAATTCTTATATAGTCTTTGTCTGCTCCACTTCAGCACTAAGACCACTTTATACAACATGTTCCATTTGCTGCTTAACACCGAGAAGACCAAGGAGCTCATCGTGGACTACAGGAGGAATGCTGACCCACATCCACCCATCCACATTAAGGGGACGGCTGTGGAGCGTGTGAGCAGCTTCAAGTTCCTGGGAGTCCACACCTCCGAGGATCTCACCTGGACGACCAACTGCTCCAAGCTGGTCAAGAAGGCTCACCAGCGCCTCTTCTTCTTGAGGACTCTGAGGAAGAACCACCTGTCCTCAGACATCCTGGTGAACTTCTATCGCTGCACCATCGAGAGCATCCTGACCAACTGTATAACAGTCTGGTACGGGAACTGCTCTGCCTCGGACCGGAAGGCGTTGCAGAGGGTCGTGAAAACTGCCCAGCGCATCGCCGGAGCACCACTTCCTGCCATAAAAGACATCTACAGGAAGCGGTGTCTGAAAAGGGCTGGGAAAATCATCAAAGACCCCAGTCACCCATCACATGGACTCTTCACCCTCCTGCCCTCTGGGAGGCGCCACAGGAGCCTCCGGACTAAGACCACCAGGTACCGGAACAGCTTCTTCCCCACAGCTGTCAGACTCCTGAACTCTGCCTCCTGACATCTGACCCACATTAACTCATGGACTGAACATACACACACCCACAATGGACAACTGTACCCTCAAACACAATAATAACATGGACTGAACCACCACTCACAACCACTAGCACTTTATATAGCCTCTGTAGAAACTATCTACACCCTCACTTATCTTAACTGCACTACTGTATAGCTCTGTGTAAATAATCATTCTGTACATTCGATAATTTTTAACCCTACAACTGTTTACAACTTGCATAGTTCCCATTTCTGTATAGCTGTATATCCCAGATTCTGTAAAGTTATTTATTTCATATTCTGTATAGTTTTTCATATTTATATCCTGTTCATATCCTGTACATAGCTTGTACTCACTACAGCCTGTACATACTTATAGTTATAGAATATTCACAACATACTTCATACCGTGTACATTATAACATACCATAATAGACCCATTTCTGTAATATACTCACATATCTATATTATTGCTAATATATATTGTAATATATCTATATCACTAAAGCACTTCTGGATGGATGCAAACTGCATTTCGTTGCCCTGTACCTGTGCATGTGCAATGACAATAAAGTTGAATTCTATTCTATTCTATTCTATTCTATTCTATTTTATTCATTTAGCCCAAAAAATCATACAAATACCTTCTACACTCAAACAAATGAAATTGGATGGTTGTTACATGTACAAGATCCAAACTTGTAATTTGAACTAAATAATTTCACGTTTCTATGGTGAACGTAATTGAATCATGTAGCATCTACATGAAATTCAGCAACTTAATTTGTTCTTGTTGAGATGACATGATACAATCTAGTAAGAGTGGTTCATTACCTGGACTCACGACATTCACAAGATCACATTAGATGTCAAACTTGCAGAAAGTTCTGCATCAACCCTTGTAATCATAGCTTTCCTAGCTTTGTTGAGCCTGGATTGACAGCTTGGTGGCGTGATGGTTAGTACTGTTGCCTCCCAGCAAGAAGAGCCTGGCTTCAAATCCACAATCTGGCTGGTTTGTGTGTAATTAGAGTTAGGTTTTGGTGATTCTAAATTACCCATGAATGTAAGTGCAAATGGTTCTTTGTCTCTATGAAATCATCAACCCCATAGCGGTTCATTAAGCAAGACTAGCAGTAATTGCCTTGATTAACAAAGTAGTTGTTCCAACAACAAGATTTCATTGTGTTTTCCTAAAGTTTTTAACTTGTGTAGAATGAATTAAAACAAATTTCACTCTACATACTGAAATCAATCACTTCAAGTCAATGCAAGTATGCTACGGTGATCCAACGTAATCTGATTACATAAAACCACCAAATGCCAAATGTGTTGGTTTGACATGATCAAAAATGGGTTATTGTACTTGGTTAAATCACATGGAAAAAGGTGCCATGATTAAATTGTGTTCATCCAAAGACAGATTTTTTTGAGCGTATCTAACAAGAACACAGTCACATGCCAGCGAATGCATCAGGAGCAACATAAGGTTCAATATTTGTCTCATTAGTAGATGTCCTGTTCTGTAATCCACAGCCACCCCAAACAATTTAGCTCATATATTTCTGCACTCGTAGCCAAAAAAGCTTTCATTTTTATATTCAGATTTTGTGCAATCTATGGAAAAGTTTCAAAGAGTTATTTTGAAATAAGTCAAATTTATCTATAAAATAAGGTATTTACAGTGTGGCCCATGCTTTTTCATAAAAACATCCTCGAAGACCAACTTCTTCCACTATACCAGGAGCTTTTTGGTGAGCTGAGAATCCATCTTCACTATATCATAGAAATTATACTGAACTCATGAAATCATAAAAACATAGAAAAATTAGGCTGTAACTGGAACAACAACAACAAAAAGTTGTTTTTAATACTTTCACAAAAAACTCATGCTGATCGCACAAAAAATAATAAAAAGTCAGCTCGAGAAAGCAGAACTGGGAGGGATTCGTAAAAACATGTTTTGCTTACAAATGAACTTCTTTATTTTTTTTTCTAGCAATGGCAGACACGTGAGACTGTGTGTAAGTGAAGTTATTATAAGTCAACATTACACCAAATCGTTTTGAAACAGCTGAATGTTTAGTTGCAATTAGGGACCCTCCACCTTTTCACAACATTCACTGTGCTTGACATTATGACATGCAGAAAATAAAACTGCTGCAGTATATGAAACAGTGTTGCAGCCTCACATTAGATTAAGGAAGTGGACCACAGCTTTCATTGCATTCTCCATTTTTTATCACATACAGTGCTGTGAAAAAGGATTCAGCCCCCTTCCCATTTTTATTTATTTTTGCAAATTTGTCACACGTATTTCAGATCATCAATCAAAATTTAATATTAGTCAAAGGCAACCAGGATAAATACAGCATGCAGTTTTTAATGTATTTATGAGAAAAAGGTTTTCCAAACTTACCTGGCATTATGTGAAAAAGTCATTTTTCTAAGCCTAATAATTAGTTGTGCCACTGGTTACTGCAGCAAGCACCACATTCAAGCATTAGTGATAACTGACAATGAGTCTTTCACATCTCTGTGGAGGAATTTTGGCCCACAGTATTTTTTTTACTTTAGCCACACTGGAGGCTTTACAAGCACAAATCGCCTGTTTAGAGGTTTGCTTGGTAGCTGCATAACCCAAGTGTGCTTGAACTTCAGGGCACGAACTGATGGCTGGACAGTTGTCCTTCAGGATTTTGTGTTAGAGATCAAAATTCATGGTTCAATCAATTACAGCAAGTCGTCTATGTCCTGATCCTGAAGCAGCAAAAAAGCCCCAGACCATCACACTAACACCACCATGTTTGACTCTTGCTTTGATCAGTCGATAGAATATTTTCCCAAGCTTTTGTTTCCTTTCTGGTCAGCAGTGATTTTTCTCCTTGGAACTATGGATGCCATTTCTGCCCAGTCTCTTTCTTACTGTTGAACATGAACTCTGATTTTAACTGATTGAAGTGAAGCCAACACTTAGATTATGTTATGGGCTCTTTTGTGACCTCCTGTATGAGTCATCAATTAGTAGATTCGGATAGCAGTTTTCCCTCAATAAATAAAAATTGCCATTTTAAAACTGTATTTTCTATTTACTTGTTTGATGATCTGAACCCTGTGCTGAATATGTGAAAAGAGGAAAGAAATCGGGAAGGGGCAAATATTTTTTCACAGCACTGCATAGGAAACAAAAGAGTAAATATTGGTCGGCTGGCTAACACAGGAAGGAAACAGATTGTACTTTCTAACCGTTGCCTTCAGCATAAACATTGAAACAGCAAAACTCTGTGATTGGCCTATTTTAACACACAATTAAACAACTGTGCAAACTCTTGGGCCGCCTGATGTGATTAAAGTTAGTGAACCAAAACTTTTTCCCAGGACAAGAATGCAAAAACAAATGTAAACTCTTTCAAATGCATTCAGTTTCCAAGAAACGTGGACATTTTCACCACTAATTCAAATGACTGAAATCCTGCTTTTAAAAGAGATTAAACTATTTTTTTTATCAGTATACAAAAGTGACATATATGACAGATGTCTCTGGCAATTTCGGCAGGTGGAGTTCAGGGAAAGGCAGCGCACCACTGCTGTCTATGTGTGTCTTTACTGTGTATGCTTTAACCACTGCTCCCCCCTCCAGCACTGATTTGTGGATGATTCCCAGTCTGGCTTGTTCATAATACTCTGCTCCGAGCTCCCTGCCCAGGAAGATGTCTTGGACCTGTGCTGGAGACAGACTTAAATAATCTCTCCTTAAGTCCAGATTTGTGTCTATTTCTGTGTTGTACCTATTTGTGTCTAAGTCAGCATTGTTTTCTCTGTCTGGGTCTCCAGTCTTGGCTCTGTTCAAATCTGGATAGGGATAAAATGGCTTCTGTGGCAGGTTGACCACCGTCAGCCTCTTCAGGTGGTGCACGGCAAAATATCCCTCCGGATTAAAAGGAGGCATCCCACTGGATCCGCAATAGATCAGTGTGAGGTGCCTCACCTCTGAGTTGTTGAGCAGACGTGCTGCATTTGACGGTGACGTGAACCAAACGGTTAAGCGTCTCATCTGGAAAACAGGAGACAAGTGCGACTGCAGGCGGTGCAGTGTGGAGAGCTGGATGTCCTTGCATACGCAATCTGTAAGCGATGAGATGCTGCAGGGTTGTGGGTCCTGGCTGCAGGAGTAGTACAAAAAGCTGTTGTGGGTTACATAAGCCAGGTGCAAGTCAGATCGCTGCAGAGCCACCGAAACACACAGCAGCACACAGAGGAAAGGGGCAGGGGGGCTGAAAGCAGCCATCACTGCTGAAGAAGAGTCTCGAGCATCTTCATCAGTCCTGCATTTAAACACAACATTACATTATTATCAGCAAATCGCACTTATTGTTGCAGTCTTAGTAAATTCTGACCATGATTATCAAGGTGAACAATGAATGAACAATTAGAAAGAAAGGCTACTATTCTCTGAACAGACAGTCGGTCTGTTCAGTTTTTTTTAAATTAGTTTTTTATTGTTTTTTACAGTTCAATTCAATTCAATTTATGTAAATAGCCCTCTTCACAGGATAAAAACCACAAAAGAAAATCAAACATACAGCACAAATCTAATTAAAAGACAATCTAAATAAATGAGTCTTAAGCTGCTTTTTGAAAGAATAAATACAATCAAGGCAACGTAGTGATGGAGGGAGCCACCGCTCTAAAAGATCTATCACCTCCGGGCTTAAAACGTGTTCGTGGGACTACCAGCAGCCTTTGATTAGATGATCTCAGGCTGCGAGAAGGAGCGTGGGGTTCTAAAAGATCAGAAATGTAGGCAGGGGGATCACAATTCAAAGCTTTAAAAGTCAGTACCAAGATTTTAAAATGTATTCTAAAATGCACTGGAAGCCAGTGTAATGAACGTAACACTGGTGTAATGTGCTCTCTTTTTCGTGTCTTAGTTATTATATTTCTATGCACCATAATATAGAAGTTTAAGTATAAATGCTCAGTTTCCAGAGTGGATGATAACATTATGGGAATGATCATATAATAAAATAGTACAGCACTTAAGAAGAAACATCCATTTCAGTGGTAAAAGCTTTAGGGCTGACTGTAAGGCAGACAGGAGTGGGACCAAAATGCAGACTTGAGAAATCGAGAAATAAGCTAAAAGCAGCTTTGTTGCTAAACTCATGGGAACAAAACAACAAACAAAAAACTGAGAAGGCAGGAACGAGGAACTTGGAAGAAATACAAAATGCATGGGACACAACATGAGGAAGATTGCAACAAAGAACACAAGTTTAAATAGACAAGAGAAGAGGAAGGCAGAGACGAGATGCCTGAAGAAAAAACACACAGCTGAACTAATTCTAGCCAATGAGACAAAGGGAAGCAAAACTGTACCAAGCACACACAAGACAATCAAAACTCAACCAGAAGGAACAGAAGGAACAGAAACACAGACAGGAAGGAAACCAAACACAGAGACAAGACAGACTTCACACAGGCAAGACTGGGCACAAAATGAAACATCACCTAATGAGGAATAAAGGACTACAACAGAACCCAAGTGCGTTTCATCTTGAGATTAGACGGATGGCCGGACATTTTCCAAGTCTTGAGGCAGCAAAACAGCCCCAAGTCATCACACTGCTTTGTTAATTTTAACAAAATGGGATGCACACCATCAAAAAGTTTGTGGATCCAAAAAACTTTTGCCTTGTCAGTCCGTAGAATATTTCACTCTTCGCACAGGGCCATGTAGGTTCAGATCTAATATCCCCCTAATTAAAAAAAAACAAAAAAAACAACTTTAAAACTGCTTTTTATTTTACCTGTGTTATCTTTGTCTAATATTTAAATTTGTTTGATGATCTGAAACATTTAAATGTGACAAACATACAAGAAAAATTCAGGAAGGGGGCAAACACTTTTTCACACCACTGTAACTCACAACCCTGGGTCACAACATTGGGACCATGCCAGAAAACAAACAGATAAAGTTGTATTGACTGTGTGAGCTTGAAACAGGGAGACATCAGTCTGAACATATTTTATTAATGACTTTCAATGTTCTTATTTTTTTCTCTTTTTTGTTTGCAGTTTTAGTTCGTTTTTATAGTTTGATTTATTCAGTCACTGAAAATAACAAATAGCGAACTGAGTTTGTCATTACTAGAGTAATAGATCCTGAACAAGAATTTAAAATAAATAAATAAATAAATAAAGTAAAAACAGTACACACACGCACACACACACACACACAGGAAAGGTTTGAATTCAAAGCTTTCTAGCAGACACGGTTGACAGGCACGGATGTGATTGCACACAATGCCATTCCTAAATCGAATCAAGCAGAAAGTCCTGATGCCAAACGCTAACCCTTTACAGTTTTTTCTGATTGCTTAAGCACATTTTTTGTAACTATTGGCTAATTTTGCAAAACTCTTCACACAAATAAGAAAACCTGTCACCCAATAATCAAAACATTGTAGTTCTCTTGCAAAAGCAAACACAGCTAGATTAACTCTTCACACCTTCATAAAAATGGTGTTTCCGTATCAAACAGTACACACAAGCCATCATCTACTAAGCACACAATGCACCAACTGCACACTGATGGTATGAATACAAAACACATCTGGCTTTTGCTTTCTCTGTGCACAAGGTAGGCTATGTCAGTTTGAGCTCATACTTCTGTCATAGATCCATAAGCATAGAGGGATCCAAACTTCAAGTACTGGTGTTTATTCAAACACATCAAAACAAACACAAGTGTTTATTTCCAAGTATAGGATTATTTGCAATCGCCATAATGACTATATGGGTTACTTGGTCTGCAGTGAACATGCTTCCTCTGCCCCCAGCATCTGGTCATCTAGCAATTCTGTAAAGTAACAATTTCAGTATTTTTACATCAGTGGTATTGGTGTGTTTCTCATTGGCATATGGCAGTGCTACAAATCTTTGTGCGAAGTGACTATACTCACCGATTCTCATTTCAAGATGTCCTTATGGTACTTGCTACAGTGTAGCGGCTCGAGTTAGGCTGGACCCGTTGGCCAGCTACCCTCAGGGTCATTCCACGGTTGATGACATGGTCCACTATTGTAGCTCTGATGTCATCAGCAATTCTATTTCTTACTCTTCCTACCCTTCCTCTCCCCCCTCCTCATCTTCCTCTCCCCCCTCCTCGTCTTCCTCTTGCTCCTCCTTGTCCTTGTCGTCCTCTTCATCCTACTTCTTCACCTCCACGTCCTCTTCCTCGGCCTCCTCTACTTCTCCCTCTTTCTGCTCCCTCCATTGTACTCCGCACACACAGCTTACCTGTATTATAGTGCTTAGGCTGATTGCAAAGTGAACTAATTATCTAAAAAAGTTTTCACATGTGAAAGTGTGCCAGACAGTTGGCAAATTAGTGTTAATGATAGCCATACATGTGTATACTTTTGCTAGGAGTGTGTTGGAAATTTGGTAATTGAGTGTTGTGCAGTGAATTGTGCCTGCAGTTTTGCAAAGTGTGTGTTACAAAATTGCAAACTGAGTGCAAAGCAGTTTTTGTGCTTTTAGTTTTCCAAACTCAGTGAGTGGTTTTGCTATAAGTCTGAATAGTTTTAGAGATTGTGCTACATGAACTGGATAAGTGAAAGAAAATAGATGGATGGATACACTGATGAAAGAAGGGTAGTTATTAATTTTGCATGTTATTGTTGTAATAACTTTGTTTTTGTTTTTACTTGCCTTATTCGCCTGCGTCTTGTTTCATGCTGTGTAGTTTAGGTAAAAGACACCTCAGCCCTGTTGTTTACCTTAAATATTTCAATGCCATATAATGACCAAAATGATATGCCAAAAGCTGAACATCGGAGACATATTGATACAGAGATATAGATATGTAGTCATTATCAACTCGAGAAATATCTTGTAAATTTACACAAGAAACTCATAAAAAACGTCATAAAAATGGTAACAGAAAACCTCAAAATAATCACAAAATCCAAAAATAAACAGAAGCATAGAAATCCGAGGACTATGACACACACGATGATATTGCACTGAAAGCTTTTGTTGTAAATATACAGTTGTGGTTACAAGTTTACAAACATGCTTGCCTGTTGGTACAATGTTCTTAGGTGGGCATAAGTGTCATAGTAATTTGGGGCTTTTAAAGCTTTATTAGAATAGTTTTTTTATCGAGGGAGGAGAAATCCAATGATATTTTTGATTTTCTCCAATCCACACAGGGTCAAAAGTATACATAAAGGCTCAAATATATGCATACATTCATTTAAGTCTCTTGATTCGTGTTGCTGATCTACAATGTATTGTAACAAGACAGCATCATGGCCTGTTCTCATTAGCGATTATAATTGACTACAGCTGGTGGTTTCTTGTTGTTAGCATAAAAAGGAGAAATTATTAGAGTAACTGTTGAATTGACCAGTTCCAACTTGTGTAAATCTACAATTACTGTATATTTCCAATTTGTGTGCCTTTTGTCACAATGATAACAGATGTTTGGAGGAGTAAAGGTGAGGCTTTCAAACCTAAGAACACTGTCCCAGCAGTCAAGCATGGTGGTGGTAGCATCATGCTCAGGGGCTATTTTGCTTCCAGCAGTACTGGTACATTGCACAAAGTGGATAGAACAAGAAGGAGGAGGGGGACTACTTCTAAATTCTTCAACTTCACCTCAAATCAGCAGCTAGATGGACATAATTGGGTCTTCCACTAGAAACACATCCAAATTAAATAAAGCAGGCTAATGTTAAGCTTCTAGGATTTCCTTCTCAGCCTTGAGCTCAACCCAATTGAAAATTAGTGGACTATGCTTTAAAGCTAGGCACATGCCAAGAAACCAACCAATTTAACTTAACTCCATCGCAATCTGCTGATTATGTAGAGTAGAGGGAAAGACCCAAGATGCAAATACTGTACACAGGTATGATTGAACAAAAATGAGTCATTTAATTAGGCTGTTGAAAATATCCATAAAATATCCATAAAGCAAAAAATAAAATCCAAAAGGTGAAAAGCAGGCTATTGCCAGAGGCACAATGAACACTGAGCATGGAAACAGGGAGGGCAATCGTGAAAGTGAATACAGCTGTGGAAAACAAGACACACCTGAACTAATCACAGAGGCCAAGAAAATGAGAGAAAAGTAAAATCTAATATAGTTGTGACTTAAACATAATCTATATTTTTTAAAAAGCTCTTTCAGTTCAGGTCCGCTTTCATAAATGACTAAATAAAATGGACTGAGGTCACTCTGTACGTTTAATGCATTAAATATTTACTTACCAACACATGAAGAGAGGCGATATGGACGATATCTACAGATGGTTTGAATTAGGACCCACACACGCACACACTCACACCCACTCATACACATGTGTGATGGGTGTGCTCTTTTTGAACCCCAGTTAAGGATATATTGCTTGGCACAGAAAGCCCACATTGAATTTCACATGGACAAACACACTTAGAAAATTACAGCTGTGCTTTGAGATTCCAGAGAAAACACTGTTTTGAAATCGTGGTTTCTATGACCGTCGGTAGATTTTCTGGTTTGGCAATACAATCAGTGCAGAAACATGACTTTCAGCCTCATTTTGAAGTCCGGATGAAGCTGACCGCTACATTCTTTCTTTGGGTTACATTAAACAAAAGACAATCTAACTTCAAATAGTCTTATAGTGTTGTTGTTGTTGTACTTACACTTATTCACCAATGGATGAGATTTACATAAAATCTCAGGGTTCATTGCCGTTTTGTATTTTTCTTTCTTTGTAACATAATATTTTTGGAGACTGCAGAATTGGATACATAAGAAAACTGTGTGACTTTACACACATACACTCAAAATGTGATAAAATGTGATTACAGCTGTGCAATGTGCACTTGGCGTACGTGCATTACTGTAGGTATCTGCAGACAGCCAACTGGGAAAGTTGCTGTTACCAACTGAAATACAGCCTCCACCTAATAAATACAACTTTGAATGTCTGTTTCTTGTCTTTCTGGTAAGCTAACCTTGAAAGCTGCTCCCTGTGGTTTTATATTTACCAGACAGAAATTAGGCTTCTTTTCTCTGCAAGAAAGCAAACATTTCCACCAAGTGCAATGGTTGTCATAAGAGCTGGGATATTGCATTAAATGTCTTAAAGGAACATAAAGCGAGAGAGAAATCCTATTTAATTTTGCATTTACAGAAGAAACTTGTTGGCTCTGTGCTTGCAAATTCTAGAAGTGGAGAGTAATGATTACCAGCTTTTAATAATTATTTATTTTGACATTCAGACAGACATTGGCCTTAAGGGTGAGTGTTTTCCTTTTGTTCAGACTAATTCTGCTTCAGGATTGGAGCAAAGTGGTGCCGACAGGTGGCCACGGCCAACACGGACTAAAGTCTGCCCACCCTACACAGGGTAAAGTGTGTCAAGATATACAGCGAGATTCTGGGCTGCTCCAGATGAAATATGACCAACAATGAAAGAATTAGACATGAGGTTCAAAGTTGGCCTTTCTAACAGTGTTGTTTTCAAAGATTACCGGGGAAAAAGTGTTAGAAATTTAAAATGACCATCTCACAATGTAACCAACCACTAAAAATGTCGAGGGGGGTAATCAACTTGATATGAAAAGTCCAAAGCAAACTCAAAAGGGAATGGAAAATAAATGCTTGGGTTTGAAATAAAAAGGTTTCCCCCAGCAGCTGTTATGACTGAGTCAAAGGGTATATAGCACGACAACAAACAGAGGAGGGATAGGATCCATGCTTGACAGAGCATGTATTAGCATGTTACAGTCTGCAGCCATCAAAACCAACAACATATAAAGAACAACTATTTACACAAATAAAAATCAAATGAACACAAAATCACCGACACCCATCCTATTCCCAAGGAAAACTAACAAAAACAAAATGTTGACCATTTCCTGTTCCAAAAGGAGAAGGAAAAACAAATACTTGTTCTGCTCATGTTTGTTAAAGCTGTGTCACGCAGAGTGGCTTATAAGGCTGCAAAAATCTCAGTATATCATAAATCTATGAGTCCCAAATGCAGAAACGCTTAGGGAGGCAAAGGTGAACAGAAGACAAGTTGTTTATTGCCCGATGTAGAAAGTCCAGCAAAACACAAAGTCCAAAGGAGTCAGTGTAAAAAAACCAGAACAACTGAAAACCTGAAAACTAGAGAAATAAACACAAAATACAAAATGAAATAAACAGGCAGGAAACCACACAGGAAACAGAAATAGATGATTTGACAGATGGGTAACAGAAGACTCGTGGAGTAAATCACAGGCGAGGAGATGAAGGAAGCAAAACTAAAAGCAAAACGCAAGGAGCACTGACTCTCAAAATAACACAGGAAGCGTTATAACTATAAGGGGAAGACACATAGACATGAATGAACTGCATACAAAGAACTAGACATAAGACGGTGAAACGCTAAGAGAAGAAGTGATCTGTATAACAACTGAGACAAAGGAGCAGAACTAAATACACTAGAGAATATAAATATAAAGATTAAACAAACCACGGATCACAAGGAATAAAATAAGCAGTCGAATGACCCAGAACCACAACACAGCCATCGTTACATTAGGATTTATAGCTAGTAACTGCCATTTTTCTACAGGAGCTTTTCATAATTGAAATTGTAAATATCTGATGAGTTGTAGCAACAGTTAAGAAAAGTTATAATCCTAGCAGTTTTTAAAAAAATCATTTGAGACAAAGTTACATAAAGAAAATTTGTTTCTGAGTCCACATGTTGTACTTCTCCACAGTAGTCACGTCTGAATGTGATGAATGATGAAAAGCTGGTCACTGAAACGTGGACGATGTCACCATTCTGGGTCTTTTGACCCCTTGTTTTGAGTTCATATATACATTGATGTTCATGGTTTATGTTTGAGTTTAAGTTTCTTAGGTTCTCTAAGTTCATTCCTTTATGCCTAGGTTGCCGTTACTATTCATGGTTTATTAGATTCCCCTTGTGTCTTCAGCCCCTGTGTTTAAGACTGTGACAGAAAATCTGGCTGACAGCAGTTTGCTGAGCTCATTTAGTGATAATACATTTAATCACACGTGCTTGGCATATCTTACTGAGGAATAGTCGGAGCTACCAAATAAATCATCAGAAGACACTACACAGTAGTTTACAAATTGAGCATTTAGTTAGACTTGGTATAGAAAAGTTTAAAGTGCTTGCCAAGTATGGCTTGTTTGGAATCATTGCCAGGAGAAAGCTTCTTTTCTCTTTGCAAAGTTGCATCTCATTAAATTGGAGGACTTAGGAAACAGTGTCCTTTTGACAAGATAGTGATGTTTGGTCATAATGCACAGCACTATGTTCAGTGAAAAACAAACAGAGCACATCAGCGCTATCACCATCAACTCTTTTGTATAGCAAAGTATTCCGGGGTCAAAGGTGAATCCATCTGTAGCAAAGCTAAAGCTTGGCTGAAACTGGGTGATGCAACAAGTCAGTGATCCCACGCACAGCAGAATGGCTTAAAAAGAAAAGGATCACGGTGTTGTACTTGGTGTTTCCCAAGACACAGAGGTTTGTGTAAACCTTTCTTTTCACGTGACTATATTTGGGATGGAACACTGTCTTCCTTTCTCTTCCCCATATTTGAAAAACATGAATCGCTGTCCAGCAAGAGTCTGTTAATGCAGTGATTCACTGATAAAATTCAAACATCAGGCTGTATTCTTTGGGTCGGAGTTTAATTTTAATTTCTGTCCTGTTTAACAGCCTAAGTTTAATCTCTGTGAAATCCGTGTTTGTTCAGCAGTCTCAGAAGAAAGACTTTCAGGGGTTCGCAGTAAAGTGTGAAGAGACACAAAACAGTGAATTAAAGGCACTCTCGATTGATAATCCAGCATCATGAGCATATTTGTTTCACCAAAAAGATTTGTGAGAATATTTCTGTTACATAACGCACACTACCAGGAATGCATAAGCTATGTAATGTAATATGAGAATGCACATAGGGCTCGGCTTTCTGATCCTTACATAGCGTTAACAACAGGACCCAAAAATACACATTTGACAGCTGTTAGTGTACACTAAATCCTCTTCAGCGTTAGTAAGCATAGAGAAAGTTTTTCATGGTTTTCTGCTGTGTAACTTACCCCAAAATGCTGCTGAGGACCAGATATGCGAATGCGTCAGAGTGAGGCTGGAATTGGGAGGGAAAGTCAAACATCCAGCTGACGTCAAGATGTGGGAAGTATCCCACTTAGGAAGCTGTAACTCACATCTGGAAGAGACTGAGTTCAGCCTTAAGTGCAATACAATAAAGTTCTGTCTGCTCTGAATATAAGTGACCCATGAAGAATCCTATTGTTTACTTTTTTATATATACTTTTTTGTCATCACTGCATTAAAGTTTCTGGATTTAAAACATATTTCATTAATAAGCTATATAATGTGACGGCTCCATAAATGGCTTTTTATTTATTTTTGTCTGCCAGTAAATATAACACATAATGGCTGTGAGGAGGGTTTTCTTTGGCTTGACACATGGGAAAAACGGGTGATTTCCCGTTAAAGACATGGAAGGGATCCAAAGTTTGCTGCTTTCAAGTGCTATCGGAAATCCCAGAATTGGACTTGATCTCGATGGAACAACCTAAAATTTAATGTCTTGAAGTTCAAGAGAGAAAAGCTACACTCAAGTTATTTTCAGTGAATTTCTTCATTTTTTCAAGTTATTTTATACTTCTGATTTTTGAAAAATGTCTTTAGAAGAAAAATGCTTTTTTTTTTTTGTCTGCCACTAAGAATTGCATCTTGACTGATGATGGTGATGATCTGTAAACAGACAGCATTTGGAAAAGCATACTGATTTGCTAGCTTTTTCTCTACTTAATTTAAGTTTGCAGCATCTTTACATTGTGCTTTTTCAAATTTGATGAGGGAGGCAAATACGACTTAAATAGCTACTGGCAACCACCACATCGAGCTGGAAAGGATGTGCATGAGGTCAGGACAAATAGAAATGGAAATGTGCTTACAAGTGAAGAGAGTCAGCTGAAAAAGTAAAAGGATTACTTAGAGGAGCTTTGAATGATGAAAACAATGCCAAGAGAGGAAGCCACTGCATGAGGAAGTCAGAAGTGGCAGAGAAGTATGTGGGGGTGGTGTTGGACATGTATGTGGACATAAGGTGTGTGGTAGAAGTGACATATGGGTTTAATGTGGGGTTGATAAAAACCTGCTATGGTGTATGGTTTGGAGATGGTGGCACTGAACTTCAATAAACTCTCTGTTTATTAGATATTTTCACTGGAAGAAACTGATTTGTTGTGAGAACTGTTAGCAGTTCACCGGTAATTACAGTTTTTTCTGAATGCTTAAACCCTAACTGTGATTCCTGTAGCACAATCTCTAAAACTATTCAGACTTATAGCAAAACCACTCACTGAGTTTGCAAAACTAAAAGCACAAAAACTGCTTTGCACTCAGTTTGCAATTTTGTAACACACACTTTGCAAAACTGTAGGCACAATTCACTGCACAACACTCAATTACCAAATTTCCAACACACTCCTAGCAAAAGTATACACATGTATGGCTATCATTAACACTAATTTGCCAACTGTCTGGCACACTTTCACATGTGAAAACTTTTTTAGATAATTAGTTCACTTTGCAATCAGCCTAAGCACTATAATACAGGTAAGCTGTGTGTGCGGAGTACAATGGAGGGAGCAGAAAGAGTGAGAAGTAGAGGAGGCCGAGGAAGAGGACGTGGAGGTGAAGAAGTAGGATGAAGAGGACGACAAGGACAAGGAGGAGCAAGAGGAAGACGAGGAGGAGGGAGAGGAAGATGAGGAGGGGGGAGAGGAAGGGTAGGAAGAGTAAGAAATAGAATTGCTGATGACATCAGAGCTACAATAGTGGACCATGTAATCAACCATGGAATGACCCTGAGGGTAGCTGGCCAACGGGTCCAGCCTAACTCGAGCCGCTACACTGTAGCAAGTACCATAGGGACATCTTGAAATGAGAATCGGTTAGTACAGTCACTTCGCACAAAGATTTGTAGCACTGCCATATGCCAATGAGAAACACACCAATACCATTGATGTAAAAATACTGAAATTGTTACTTTACAGAATTGCTAGATGACCAGATGCTGGGGCAGAGGAAGCATGTTCACTGCAGACCAAGTAACCCATATAGTCATTATGGCGATTGCAAATAATCCTATACTTGGAAATAAACACTTGTGTTTGTTTTGATGTACTTGAAGTTTGGATCCCTCTATGCTTATGGATCTATGACAGAAGTATGAGCTCAAACTGACATAGCCTACCTTGTGCACAGAGAAAGCAAAAGCCAGATGTGTTTTGTATTCATACCATCAGTGTGCAGTTGGCGCATTGTGTGCTTAGTAGATGATGGCTTGTGTGTACTGTTTGATACGGAAACACCATTTTTACGAAGGTGTGAAGAGTTAATCTAGCTGTGTTTGCTTTTGCAAGAGAACTACAATGTTTTGATGATTGGGTGACAGGTTTTCTTATTTGTGTGAAGAGTTTTGCAAAATTAGCCAATAGTTACAAAAAATGTGCTTAAGCAATCAGAAAAAACTGTAACGTATTTTCTGTACAGCACTTTGGTCCTGTGCTGGGTATTTTAAAGTACTCTATAAATAACATTGGATTGGATATATATATATATACATACATACACTCGACAAATGTACTACATAATCATATATACTCGTATACACTGTATACCAACAATGTGTTTATATAATGGAATCACCATGTTAAGCATTTAACCTACATATTCAAACTATAAGAGCCATATATTTGAGTCAAGTATTATCCACATTTAAATGATAAGTCTGCACCACTAGTTGTATGAGTACCTGTTGATCCACACCGCTTGTTTTGAGATTTAATAATTAGGATTAATATGTAACTTTTGATCATGTTATGGGCTACTGTGACAAGTCAAGACATAGGGTTAGTCGAAATTGGCCCATCTAAAGATGCACCTTTCTGCATATGTGTGTACCCACAAGAAGCAGTAGTGTTATTAAAAACAATCATATCTGTAAGGTCAGGTCCAAACAATATCCAGAGGACAAGTGATGGTGGGAGAGGAAAAGACTATACACCGCACTGACAAGAAAGCAGACAATAATAGAGAGTGGTGGACAGAAGAAGAAGAAGACTGATTGATTTCAAACATGTAAATAAAATGAAAGTACACTGTAAACAAGAAAAACGTTGCTTTTGACCTGTACCATTTTGGGCTTTAATGCAAAGCTTAGTTTATTCTACAATTTTACTCCAAATATGAATAACTTTAAAACTTTCCCTAGTTTTTAAACACTGTGTATCTTCAAAGAAACCTTTCTGACTACCTTTGGCAACAGATTGCCCCCCCACCCAGAAGATGCAGGGGTTTTGATTAACTGTCATATGTATTTTCTCCAGACCTCCAGTTTAAATATAGTAACACCTCAGAAAAGTAAAGAATGAGAAGTGATTTCTGATTTATCACATGCTTTGCTTTAGACAAGACTGAGATGTATTTAGGCAGTTTGTTAGGAGTATATTTAACATGGGATTTCCTGCAAATGTTGTCAACTGTTATCACAATATTAGCTGAAGGTGTGAATTGGTGGTTTAGAAATCCCCTCACTCGCCAAGAAGACTGCATGCCACACATATACCAATTTTTTCACTAAGAGCTATTTGTGAGTTGCCTTGTTAGTGCAAAAATGACTATTTTATGTTTTTCAAATTATATTCAACAAATTGTATCTTTTTGTGGAAGGCTGCTAGTAACAAAGTCCCAAAAGATATGATTTTAAATTGCTTTTTGCTAAATCGTTTGCTATGCATAGTCACACTCAAGTTCATCCCTTGTCTTTTTTATGCTCGAGGGATTTATATACCGGTGTTTAGTGGCTTAACACAAAAACAAAATTCCTGTAAAATTGGCCATGTACAAGGACTAGACTGAAAATGCACGAAAAAGCAGTCCAAAACATCAGCTTTTACTGCATGCAATATTACTTAATAATTACATTCAATATATTTACGTTTACTTGTTTTCAGTGAAAAGGTGTGGCCTAGACGTCATCACAACCACTGTAATTTCCACCCACTGCTGGACTGAAAGAAAAACACAATTTGGGAGTTTAAAAAAAATCCTGAAAAAAAAAACCCTTCTCGAGATGAAAATACATTTAAATAAGTTCCTTAAAACAACACATAAAAAAACAAAGCAACGTGAAATGAAAGTGGAAACAGATGAGCTACTTAGCCAGTCTTAGTCACGCGTTTTTGTGGGTTTCTCGCTACGCTAAGTTGCTTCCTCTCTCACAAGAAACGACAGTCCGTGAAGGGACCATGACACCGGAGCCGCAGACAAGCGCAGTAGTCCTGGTTTTCCTCCCACTTATTCCACAGTGAAGCTGTTGTTGGTTAAAGCGTTAGACGAGCTATATGTATGACTGTAGGCTGAACTGTGAGTGCTAAGTTGGAACACTGAAGAAGTTTTAATCGGGATAATGGAGTCATTCCACTCCGTTTTTCTGTATTTTTCCTGGATGACGGTGGTAGCTTCCAGCGGTGAGTAGCTATGATAGTTGCTAACTACAGTATGTACTAAAATGGTTCGTGTGAGACTGTAAACACGTCGATATCGGAGCGTGTGAATCAAAATGATTTGTCAGGAGATATTTTCGCCGTTTGTTTTTTTCTCTGTCTGTCTGTCTGTCTGTCTGTGTTATCAGGGAAAACACGGTATCAGGTATCAGGTTATCATGGCTAACGGCTAACACTGTCAGGGAAAGATTACAGGAAAAAGGAGGTTCGTTCTTGTGGCTACAGAGTTTACCTTACACGTCTAACATTCAAGTGTCCAACAAGGTCCAACGTTGCCTCCACACCAGAGGGCCAGGAAAAGACCTGAGCTGGTTAAAAATATTTGGATTTTACATTTTACAAGTTATTTCATGTAGTCGTGTATTGACGGTGTTGTGAAGCTGTTGCTGGAAACAAAAAAGTGAATTTTAAGCACGATGAGCTGTTTATTTTTGCCTATATATCTTTGAATATCTCTCTTGCTTTTCCATATGTGGCCACCAGTCTTATTAGGTATACTTAAAACTAGCTGTTAGGCCTCATTGTGGGTATTAATATGAGTCTGGGTATAAACTGCACAAACT